AGACATAATTTGCAGTAAATGTGTCTATTGCAATATGTCCTTGGAATTTTTGACAGCTGATCCCCAGGGCTTTTGATTGAGAATCCAAATAAAATGCAAACCTTTACAACTTCAATCTTTGTTCTACGATCATGATGATGCTTCCCCCACCCTCCCCCTCCCCCCATTGTCAGGATTTTTGTTTTCATTATGTTGAGAAGTCATCTATTGTGATAATCTATATTGAAGGCTGTAGTATTTGATTTTCAAAGTGCTTGGATGCTAAGTGCTTTAAATCTTTATTTTCAGCAAGCAATGCTGTGTCATCTATACTGCAGGCTGTTAAAGAGTTTTCCTTCAATCCTAATGCCATGTTCTTCAGGTCGTCCAGCTTCTCAGATACCTTACTTTGGATACAGAAGACATAGTATAGTGAAAGAATACAACTATTTTAAACTATGTGGTAGCTCTTTGTTATGTTCAAATGACTGCCTCTTAGTCTATGTACCGGTTTCCACGTGAGCACAATTAAGTGTTTTAAAGTGGTTGGGTAGGAACAGTTCCCTATAACCAGTTAGGTATTGGAAAGTTGACTATGACTCCTAGCAATTCTGTGAACAACAGATCGATTGGAACCTTGCCCAATCCTGCACCATTCTCATGAACTCACGTTGTTGTTGTTGTTGTTATGGGCTATCCAGTAAAGTACAACTCATAGTGACCATCTGAACTATGACTCTAACCCTGCCCTATCTTGAGCCAGTCTCGCTGTCTCTGACACACCTGCCCCCATTGACGAGGGGGTATAAAATCAATGAGGACAAATTTGTCCCCATCTCTACTGCTCTGAGTGGGGAACTCATACTATTGAACTTACAGCCTTACATCTTAAGTGGATCTGGCCAGGCCAGAGGAAGACTGGTAGATATGCCATTTGCTATCTCAGATTCAATACAGCAATGCAGGGCTTGCTGGTGCTGCCCTACAGCTTCCAGCCTGTATTCTTGGAGAAGATGACTCTCTGTAGCTTAGAAAGACTCTCGAGTCCTTCTTTGTGCACCTCAGCCAACTCTATGCCAAGCACTGTTCGAGGCATTAAGACTGCAGCCTAGTCATCAACAAAACAGGCAATAAAACCCAAAAAAGGTCATTCATTCCAGTGGGCACTAAGACTAGAATGTTTTAAATACCTAAATGAGAAAGTGATATGGATTATGATGGAAAATGCATCAGGATGAAGCAAGAAGAGTGCATGATGACTGCATTGCATTCATTAGAATAGCCATGGAAACCTCTCCAATAAGGTGATGTCTAAGCAGAAACATTAGGAAGTGTGAGAAAGAATCATGCACACATCTGAAAAGAGTGATTCCAGGCAAAAAAGGGCAGTAAATGCAAAAGTGTTGAGGAATAGCAAAGCAGGAGTGAATAGTGGAGAGAGGGAGGAAAAGAGCTTAGAAAGAGTAGGAAAGAGGATCACACAGGACCTTGTGGTGCATGGTGAAGGCTTGCAGCAAGAGACAAGAGTCAGTATCAAACAACTGTCAAACTATCAACTTCAAGCAATGACCAGTGCTCATCCCTAAGATCTTAATAGGACCTCAGCAGTTCCAAAGAGCACATCCAGGAAAAAGAAGAAGGATATTCTTAAAAGCAAAGACATTTGACCCAACCTTGTCCCTTACAGACTTCTCTCCCTCAGTATTAGCCAAAACCAAATCACATGTTCATTCTTTTTTTTAAAAAAATGGAATTGTTTTCACATTGTTGTACCTTTTTATCTCCTCTCCAATCCCTCCCCCAAATGCACATGTTGTTATAGATTGCTGTTGTGTGTATAATGCCTAGCCATATGTTCCTTTTGGACAGTTCTTTCCCTCTGTTCTAATGTAGCATTCATTATCTATCTACTCTTTGCCCATTCTCTCTCCAGCCCTGCCCCTAGTCCGTCCTATTTTATAACAGTGGTGTTATGCAGTATTTGTCTTTTTGTGACTCAGATATTTCACTCAACATAATGTCCTCCAGGTTCTCCCACATTATGTAACCTTTTATGAGGTCATTGTTTTTTTCAGCGCTGTGTAATATTCTACTGCACATGTTCATTCTTAACTAATCATCTCTAAAGAAAATCAGATTACTAGAGTTGGCTATGCCCAATTAAGTTCTGTCTTTTAGAACCAGAGATTAAGTAATTTTGTCCTGAAGCTTATCAACTACTTAGAGTTGGTTTGAGTGTTTGAAAAGATGCTATTCCCTTGCTACTGTTTAATGAGTTAAATCTAATCTGCATGCATGTACACACACACACACACACACACACACACACACACACACACGTTTAAATGCTGTCAACAACACAAATATTGGGACCAGAAGGAGAAAGTGGGACACAAAATGTTTGTAGGCAACCAGTATGACCAGGCTGGAAGTAGTAACAAGAGATGCAATGTACTTCAGAACGAATTGGGCTGAATAACATCTAAGATATACTCAACCATGAGGTATTATTCTAGGACTTTATTGATCCCTTAATTTATGGATGCATGGCTTCAGAACACACATACGTAGCTGCAGTCTGAGGAACACAACTATTTCTTATGCGCTGTGCCATATGAGCACATTTTGTTATAGTCTCAAATGAGGAAGACATCTCTTCCTCTTGCTTGGAAACTCCCAGATGTGAAAAGGGAATTCTGGAATAATGAAAGGGAGTATAAAGTTTGGGGAAAGAGAAAGGTAGGGCTTAGTTTAGAAACTGCAGCTAATATAAAGGTGAAGGATATTGGACCATTGTCTTCAGGAGTTTCTCCTGACCTTCATATGGTGGTGCTGGACAGCTCCACTTGGAAACTCCAGCGTGCTTAACTGTAACCATCACAAGTAACTCTGGTAGCTTATTGGTAAGGAGCTGCATTGTCAACCCAAAAGCATAAGGTTCAAATCCACCAACTGCTCCTCAGGAGAAAGATTTGCAACCTCCTGCTGTGTGATTTACTACTCTGAAAACCCACTGGACAATCAGCTTTCAGTCGGTTCTGACTTATGTATACAACATATTATATGTGTTATATACATAGTATGTATGTTGCTATGTGCTATGAAAGAGGTAGTAAATCCCATGAGAGGAGCTAGCCCATCCTTCTCCCTTGGAGCAGGTGGTGGGTTCAGGCTCCATGCCTTCAGGATTGCAGCATGGCTTCTTACCACCAAGCCACCAGAGTTGCCTAATGTGTATGTAAAACTCATATATAAAACAATAGAAACTATCCTGAAGCCACTTTTGGCCCTGTATGCCATCTCAGCTATCAGTAATCCACTTCATCCCTTCATCACCTTTTACCATTATTATCAGAACAGCCTCCAAATTGTTCTTCTTGTGTTCAGTGTGTCTTACTCTATTTGACTTAGATATCCAGAGAATAAGTATCTTGGATGGTGTTCCGGACCTGATTTAAACTAACTAATAGTTGTCCATCATACTTGAAGGATAAATTCAAATTCTTTGGCAGGATATATATAAAATGTCCTCCCTATTAACATTACCTGAAAAAAAATTGCCTTCAATTTAGCTAACTTCCTTTATCCCCACCATGCATGCCGTGCAACACTTCATGTCTTCCTACCACCTTTGGTCAGCATTCCCTTCCCTTCCTGCAAAGGCAGTGCCTCATTCAGAAAGCTGCCTTTGACCTTCACCTCTCACCTCTAGCACCACCATCACCTGTGTGCTCAGAGCTCTTTGCATTTACCTTTCTCAGGAGACACTATGTGGAAAGCATTTTTGTCTCCACGAGCCTCCATGAGGGTGTATAAACTTTCCTCCTAGAGGAAAGGAACTTAAAAAATTATGCACTTATTCCAGCCCTTAGCCAATGTCAGATGTAGAATAAACAGATCAAACTCACTGCTAGCAAATTGATTTCAAGGTATGGAGACCCTCCATCGAGTTTCCTCAGCTGTCTTTAACAGCAGGAAGCTGACTCAGCTTTCTTCACAGAGCTGGCTGGTGGGTTCCAATGCTAACTTTTTGATTAGCATCCCAACATTTAATCTACTTAGGTTCTGAAGCAGGGTGCACAACAACAAGAAGCCACTAAAGCATCTTGAGTCCCTAGACTCAACAGAACAGGCATTAAATAAATGTTTAGTGACTAGAAAATAGCTAAGACGGGGTGGGGGGTGTGGGGGGGTAGCAGCTGGGATAAAACGCAGAGGAAGACAGAGGATATGGGGAGGGAGTAGCAAATGGAGATTGTCAGGAGTTTGTGTGCTCTGCATCCCAGGAGCAGGTTCTTCTGAATTCTATAGCTAGAACCTCAGTTCCTGCTCCATTTTACACTTTCAGTGGCTCCTCCATACCCTGCCTCTCATAGATGATGATCCCCAGTTTGGCTTTTGAATAGAGTTTGGGAAAATTCTTTGTCGCCCTCACTTGGCCAATCTGTCCTCCCTCTCAGCCGAAGCACACTGCAACATAAAGACAGAATTTTGTCTGCGTCTGCTGCTTATTTGTTTTCATTTCCTCACTCCTGTCCTAGCTTCTCTGGCACATGCCAAAGCTAGTGAATGTGCCCTCTGGCAGTGGCTCCAGAGCTATCAAAGTTGGATGGGGTTTGGTTTGTGTTGGGGATGGGGGAGTCTTTCCGCAAATCTGAAGTCTGGCCATACAGCTACACAGGAACGCCCCTTTTGAAGCCTTCTTGGCTATCAGCTACTGCAAAGGAATTTCAAAGTTCAGAGAAGTTCCACTTTAGGCCAGACCGTTTTCTAACATGGTCCCAATGGTTTGGGGGAGGGGGAGTGCTAGAAAGAAGTATGAGGCGCTATCCCCTCTGAGACGGTCTGTCCATGCCTAGATGCCTAGGTGCCAGGGCGGGGTGGGGAAGAGTACCCACGACGACGAATGAGTTCACTGGTTGCTCAACAACCTCAGTCACAGCACTTAACTCCTGGCCTCAGTTTAGGAACCTGTAGCAATGGGTCTGACCTCTTCCCTTGGCTACGAGTTTCGCCACTAGGGTGAGGCAGAGGCTTGCACAAACCCCAACTCTCTCTTCCGCAACCACGCAGCGTGGGCTCAGAGAGAGGTGGGCCACGCTCGGAGGCTAGAAAGCAGGCGCGAGATCTGGCAAAGGAGACAGTGGGGTTCCTGGCTCGCTCCCTCTCGGTTCGCTGTGTTTGCTGAGCGAGTGTCCTACGCTGTGGGGACGAAGAGCTCCAAGTACAGCGAGAAGAGAGAAACCAACCAGCACCCACCTCCCTCCCGCCGGCCGGGCGCCGAGGCGTGTAAACGTGGGCGGAGGGGAGCGCGCCCTCCTCCCGCCTCCCCTCCGCGCGCGGCGCTCCCCTGTGTGCGAGTGTGCGGCTCCCTCTCGCACACGCTCCGGCACTAGTGCATCGCGGAGCCGCCGGCTCCCAGCTCCTCGCTCCGGCCCCGCAGCCACAGCCTCTGCAGTCGCAGCCGGGCATGGTGAGTGAGTCAGGACACCGCGCCCCCCGGTTGGCCGCCGGATCCCAGCCGGCTTCGTCCCGCGGAGCCAGCCTGCGGCGGGAGTGCGCGGCGGGGCCGGTGCCGGGGTCCCGGCTGCCGAGCGGCGCCCGCAGGGCTGGTCCGTGAGCCCTCGGTTCTGCGCGCAAGGCCGGCGGGACCCCGTCCCCCTCACGGCAGGGAGACGCGCTCCTCGAGGGCGTCGCGCTCCCGCCCGCCTCTCGGAGAGCCCGTCGCCCCACCCGGTGACTGGCTCTCTGTTTTGTCCCGCAGGACCCGCCCGGACGGGACTCCGCCGCCGCTCAGAGCCGCGCTTCGGGTCCG